CACCTGGGTTCTTTCCACCTTTTGGCTATTATGAATAATGCTGCTATAAACACGGATGGACAAATACCTGTTCAAATCCCTACTTTGGTTGGGATTGCTGGATCAAATAGTATTTTGTATTTTAATTTTTTCTTGAAGAATCATCATACAGTGTTCCACACAAACTGTCCCATTTTATGTTACCACCAGCAACACACAAGGGTTTCCATTTCTGAGAGAGTGGAAAAAGAGATGATGCATTCAAACTGGCATCTCAAAACAATGCTAAAACATGGGTATTTGCATGATGAATTTTCTCTAGCTTTTTTAAGATTTTTTCTTTTTTGGGTGTGGACCATTTTTAGTCTTTATTTAATTTGTTACAATATTGCTTCTGTTTTATGTTTTGGGTTTTTGGCCTCAAGCCTTGTGGGATTTTATCTCCCCCACCAGGGATCGAACCCACAGCCCCTGCATTGGAAGGCAAAACCTTAACCACTGGACTGCCAGAGAAGTCCCTTCTCTAGCTTTTTAAAAGGGTAACATCTGTAAAAATCTGGTTTTTAACTCATTTTAAGAGTTCAGTTAGCAACTTTAACATTAAAGCCGCAGTGGCAGCACTTCAGGTAAAGACTGCAAGCCAGCCTGCAGTATCAATATAATAACTAAAAATCCACAAGCCACAAAACTGTGAGATGGGAGATCCAAGAAACATTAAGGTCTCAAAGCTGACCTGTGAGCTACTGAGCCTATTAAACTGAGTAAATAACTTTAGTGAAAACAAGAAAGTGTCATAATCAGGACAGAAAAGAGAAAGCAAATGGGGGCACCTTTAACATGATGAACAAAGAGATGGAGGTCATGGCATATAAGAGGCCATTTGAAAGAGGCTTGATTTGTGGATATTAGGAACATGAAATTTTGGGGAAAAGAAAACGAACCCTGTCAGGAACAGTTTTAAATAAATATACCCAAGCACAGAAACATAAATCAGCTACTGGATTTGTAAGTGAGGAAGGAACAGTTATGAAGGATTAAAACTGTGTATGAAAAAAAAAAAAAAACTGTGTGTGAAGAAGGCAACATATGTAGAAAGTCAAAGTGCCATATCCCATCTCGTGTCTATAGAGATCTTACATTCTGTACACTCAGTATTTACCAGCATGGAAGAGAGGCATTTTGATGTAAGGCGTGTTTGTGTAAAGACAGGAGATTGCTGGTTCTTTCAGCAGCTGAACAGATGTTTCTCTGATGCCTGTTATGTGCCAGGTTCTGGACTGGGCAGTGAAGATGGAGCTGGCAGTTGTCAGCAACGAGACAGATCAATTAGACAGACATCCCCAGACAGGGAGGAGATGAAGCCCAGGATGCCAGAGCTCACAGAAGACTTTGTGAAGACGTTGGAACAGACACGTGGGCTGCGTAGGCATTCACGCCCCAAAGAAGGAAGTAGGATTCGGGTGGAGTAGAACCTCTTTCTAGGAGGGACCAACATGAACAAGAGAAAGGGAAATGTGAGAGTCTGAGGGGGAAGGTGCTGGCAGAGGAGGACAGGGGATACTTGGAAGCTCCCAGCAGCTCAGTGATATTCCTCAGGATGTGAATTTCAAGGCAGGGAATAGCTGGGAATCATGCTGGAGTATGAACAAAGATACACATTTTTTTTTTTTCTTTTCTCATTAATGTCTAAATCCCCCATCTCCCTACACAAGCTCACCTCTTTTTAATAATCACAGTTTTAGTATATTTAATTGAAAAATCATTGTAAGTAGGCTGATCTTTGGAGAGGGGGAAGCTGATTGTTATTAACAGTAATTAGCCTCTTGCTCTCATAGGTTTCGTCCTTTTTCTTTCACTGCCTGAACTGGGTATTGTGCATGGTTCTCCAGCATCCATGCCGCCCCTGCTTGTTGAGTAACAGCGATGTGGTTTGGAGACTTGATCTTAGCTGGTTTAAGGGTAATCCTACCTCCACTACCAGTGTTTTAGTTCACTATTGGGTGTGTGTGATTCATTTTGGACCAATGAGAAAAATCTAAGTTTGAAGGAGGATTGAGGGAGGAAAACTATGGTCAACCAAACTGTCTCTATTGCTAGATGTGAACTAGAAGCTTGTAGCTATAGTGCCATGTGGGGACCCAGGCTTAAGGTGATGTTATGGATGGTAGAATGGAGAAATGAAAAAGAGTCCTTGATGGCCCTATTGAACTGGGAAATCAGCTAACCCAGAACTTTTCCCATTACTGGGCTTCCTCTCCTGAAAGTTAATGATTTTCTTCACTGCTTAATCTACTTTGGGTTTGTTCATCTGAAACTTGAAATCATCTGCAACCTAAATGATACATGATCTTCGTGACCTTCAGCAGACACTGTATGACTTTCTATGACCATAACCCTTTGAGCCTCATTTCCCTTGTCTGTGAAATGAATATAATTATGTATCAGGGTTTTTCATGAAGATTATTTGAGATCCATCACAAAACCTGAGGGAAGAGGCATGAACTAATACATGAGTGCCTACGATGCACCGTGAAATAGGTTGGTCCTTGTTTTAGGAAACTTACAAGACTAGAAAAGAATTTCAGATAATTTTTTATATAAAATGGTATAAATAGGGCTTCCCTGGTGGCTCAGTGGTAAAAAAAAGCCCCCTGCCAATGACACAGGTTCAATCCCTTATCCTGGAAGATCCCACATGCCACAGAGCAACTAAGCCTGTGAGCCACAGCTGTTGAGCCTGTGCTCTAGGGCCCGGGAGCCTCAACTACTGAACACGTGTGCTGTAACTGCTGAAGCCTGCATGCCCTAGAGCCTGTGCTCCGCAACAAGAGAAGCCACTGCAATGAGAAACCCGTGCACCACAACTCGAGAGTAGCCCCCACTCGCTGCAACTAGAGAAAAGCCTGTGCAGCAACGAAGACCCAGCACAGCCAAACAAAGAAATAAAATTATAAAGTTTTATAAAGAAGGTCACATGCGTATGGACCATTGTACAATGAGTTTTTTTCAGATTTGTACAATGTTTGTTGAATACTTGTCGTTCCAGGCACAAGATCTAATGTGGCCAGGGGTGGGGGGGAGAATGAGGGAGGGGCTTAAGGAAAGGCGTGTCTGAAGAGTTGGTATTTAAGTCAGAACCTGACTGATGAGTAGCAGTTAGCTGAAGAATGGGGAAGAACAGTTCAGATGATGAAACATTATATGCAAAGTCCAGAAGGCATGGACTGTTCCAGGAAGAGACAAGGAAGTGGGTGGTACAGGTGGAGTGGACCAGAGATACTGTAGTGGGAGAGGAAATTGGAGAGGTAGCGTGAAACAGGTAATGTCACAGCTTTGTTGCCCATGTTAAAGATTTTTGAATGCTCTGGATGTACAATGAAGCCATTAGAAAGTTTCTGGGTTGTTTTTTTTTTTAACCTTTTTTATATACACAAAAGTAGAAAGAGCAGTGAAATAAATCCCCATGAATCTATCAGTTAGCTTTAAGAATTATCAATGCATGACCAGTATCATCTATCTCATTCTCTTGTCCCCTCTACATATTTTATACAGTAGATCTTTGATTATTTTAAATAAAGCAGTGTGTACATGTCAACCCCAAACTCCCTAACTATCCCTCCCCACCCAGGTAACTGTAAGTTTGTTCTCTAAACCAGTGAGTCTCTGTTTTGTAGCAGAAGGGTCTCGTCAACTGACCTATACATGTTTTAATGAGACTGTGGGTATCGAGAGAGGAGGAGCAGTTGGGGCAGTCTAGGTGAGACAGGTGGGTAGCGTGGCCCAGAGTGATGGCGGTGGAGATCGAGTGAGGTAGGTGGACAGGAGCAACATTTTGAGTGCAACACTTACTGGCCCTGGTAAAAGATGAAAGTGATGTACTGACTTACAGGGAGAGTGGCATCAAGGAGGACTCTTTAGCTTCTCTGTAGTGACTGGAGAAGGTGTATATTTGGGGGTAGAAAAATCAAGGTTCAGTGTGAACATGTTAAATGTGAGATCTCTGATATACTGACATTGGGATGTTGAGTAACAGTCTTACTTATGTGTCTGAAGCTTGTAAGAGAGGTCTCTCTGGGCTGTATGGGACAGGGCCATTGCTGGTTCAGTGGTAGAATTCTCACCTCCCATGTGGGAGACCCGGGTTCAATTCCCAGCCCATGCATCATGCTCATCTTCGTTTTATATGTATAAGAGGTGACCAGTGCAAGTTGATGCATGAAGCAGGGCACTCAAAGCTGGTGCTCTGGGACAGCCCATAGGGATACGGTGGGAAGAGTGGGGGGGGGCGGGGAGTACAGGATGAGGGGGACACATGTATACCTGCTGCCATTTCATGTTGATGGATGGCAAAACCATCACAATATTGTAAAGTAGTTATCCTCCAATTAGAATAAATTAAAAAGCACGTACACACCTGTCGGGGAAAAAAAGAAGTCTCTCTGGGCTGGATGTAAAATTTGAGAGTCATGGGCAGATTGGCTGTATCAGAAATGATGGGAAGGGAATGGGACTTGTTAAGGGAGAAGTGAGAGCTGGGAGAAAAATACCTGCTTGACTTCTTACTATTTGCTCAAGAAATATTTGCTGAATATTGAATGGATGCTCGAAGAATAGGGAAGATTCAGAAGCTGGAAGGAATGAATGAGCAGTGTTCCAGATAGAAGCATAGATACAAACTAAACTGCAGAGGTTGAAATAACTGCATGTGTGGGAGGCAGTGCCTAAGTTGCTTGATTTGGTTTTATCATCTGTAATGTGGGGATTAGTCACTTGCTCAAGGTTGAACTTCTTGAAACTGATGCTTCCTGCATTTGTGCTACAGTCTTTCTGACTTACGAGCTCAGGATTTGCTAACATACCATGGTCCCTCTTCCCCAGATTATTTCCTATAGTTATGATTCCACCCCTCAACTTGGAAATGTCTTGTTTCCTCCCATATAGGCCAAATGACGTATTGTCTTTCATGGACACCTTCTTTATAGGATCTGTTTTCTGAGTTAGATTTCTTTCCTCTTTCCTAGCTCTCCACTGCGGTTTGAATCCACGGGGAATTGATCACCCTGCCCATGGTGAAGGTATTAAACTACAAATTGAAGGCGAAGGTGTTGAGTCTCAATCCATTAAAAATAAAACTTTCCAGAAGGTGCTTGACCAAAAAGGAACCCCCAAGCGACTGCAGACAGAAGCCGAAACAACTAAGGTAGGTGATACTCCAATAAGTTAAAGAGATTCTGAAGCTGCAGCTTCTATATTTTGTGGTCCAGCCCCAGGGAAGAACTGATGGTGCTTTCATTAATTATTGTTGGTGATTCAAAAAACACTGCTCCTCAATTGCAAGTAATAAGAAATGAAAATAGTGACTTCATCCCCTTTCAAGTGAAATCAAAACACATTTGTGGTCAGTCTTAGAGCATGAGGCTCTGAGGATGGTATAGGATAAGCTATAGGGATGAGTGTCTGGACTTAACGATTTGTTTACCAGGCTCAATTGATCATTTGATAATATTGGATAAGTCATGTGACTTTTCAAGCCTCAGATTCTTCACCTGTAGAATAGGTACCAGAAACACCATCATCTCGATCAGATTGAACAGATGAAATAATACTGTGTATGTACAAGTATTTTGTAAAAGGCTCAGTTGGCTGCATGAGAATGAGGGGCTTTTGCTGACCATAACAGTAATACAAGTGATATTTTATGAAATATATACATATATTCCAGGTACTATTGGAAGGAATTTTGACATACTGGCTTATTAGGTCCCTGTAACAATTCTGTCAGGTAGATAATAGTAAGCAAGACCCTGGTTAAAGATACAATTGCTCTATTTTGTTGCAGTATTCTTCACCTTTTCAGTCTTTAATATAGATGTATGTACAAGACATACCTTGGTAAACTGGGAGCTTAAAGGATAGATGATTATTTAGTAAGAGCAACCTCTTTCAAAGGTTTTCCATCATGGAACTGGTACTGTATCGATTTTTGTCTGAAACCAGTGAAGATGCTTTTGTTGGGGGTGCCAACAAAAAGTTTGCCGCTTGAAAATTGAGAGAACTCATCTTCCTATGGTATTTCCTTCGAAGAAATCTCCTTTCAAATGTTTGTTGAGGGGATGAATATATGCATGCCTTGGAAAGCAGATGTTTCAGTCTCCCAAGAAAAACCTCAAGTAGAAAGGTCACTCGGCTGTCATACAATAACCCCCTCCCACTCCCATAAATAAAAGAAAAAAGCCTTCCAAGATCAGATGTGAATTTTTCCACCTTGTCTATACTTTTGGATAATTACTGTGGCTGCTTCTCTTCTTTAGTGCAGATAATTAAAAACTGATGACAAAAGAGTGTCTGTGTATCTGTGTTGTAGGGAGTGGGGAACAATTAGCAAGGGAGATATTGCAGATACTTTGTACATTTTAGCTGAGAGAAATTACACCTCATAGAAAATTGGTTGGTTATTGTTATGTGAGAGGAGCTGGGAATAAGTAAGCCCTATTTTGACATCTAAATCTGGTCAGCCAGTGGTTCCATCTTGAAACAGTGAGAAAAAAATGTGTTAAAGGTCTTCTTTAACTAGGAAGATAAATGGTTTATTTGAATAGGATCTTTTCAGAGTTGCATAAAATATTAAACATTACAGTGGAGGAAAAGAAAACAAATTGACAATTGCCTGATTGTAATTCAACTTTAGTTTAATTAAATTAATTCAACTTTTCCAGATTCTCTTTTATTTGCAAAACAGATTTAGTGATATAAGAAGTTGGATTCAAACCTGATAGAATTTGATAACTTCTGAATTATTTGGAATGTATGATGTGGTAGTAAACCTGGTTTTCATGTCAGTACCTTTTTGCCCTCTAGTTCACTTTACATTTGCTTTGCTGAAAACCTGCCTCACTGAGAATGCAGTCATCTGTAACGAACATTTCCTCAGGTTTAGACTCCAGTTGAAAACCAGATTCCTCTGAGTTTTTCCAGGTTGTCTACAGTGAAACTCCCAAACTGAGTTGAAAGGGAATTCTGAATGTCTTCACATTGACCTGTTTAGGAATGAACAGATTAGGAGCTTTTGCTACAAAGTATTTATTTTTTCATGGAAGACCTGATGACAGTGGAGGTTGCTGGGAAGCAGGGGCAAAAATAAAAAAAAGGATTACTGCAGACCTGTAGTGTCACATACCCCAGAGATTCTGTACCACTGACAATGTGAACATATTCTGTGCATGTATGGACACACAGAGATGTGCCTTTCTGTTGCACTTCAAGGGTTATTGGAGTTGTGAGTCATCCTTTCTCCTTAAGTAAATAATTGAATCTCTGGTAACTTGACCTACTCAACTTACCTTAAAAAACCTCCTATTGCTACAAATGCATCATGTAAAGCCACTCAGAAATGCAAATCAGTACAGATTTTCTGGAGGACAGTCTGATAGAGTTAGCAAAATTTTTCAATGTGTGTAAGTTTTGAGCCAGTGATGCCCTCTCTAGGAACTTGTCCTAAGGAAATAATCACCCAGATGAGCGAAGATGGCTGCAGGAGAATATTTACTCTAACAATGTCTATAATATGAAAATAATACTCATTCATAAAACTTTGGCCAAAGAGATTGTGTATTGATGGAATTGAACAGAATTCTCTCCTTATAAGGGTGATGGAGACCTATGTGTATTTACCTTAGTTTGTTCAGACTACTATAAAACACCTTAAACTGGGTGGCTTATAATATTATTCAGCCGTATAAAGGAAAGAAGTGGAATCACTTCTCTAGATGTGGATGGACCTAGAGACTATCATACAGAGTGAAGTCAGTATACAGTAATTGTTTTCCTCTTTCTGACCAACACATATATGTGGAATCTAGAAAAATGCTACAGAGGCCTTATTTGCAAGGCAGAAATAGAGACAGACGTAGAGAACAAACGTATGGCCCCTAAGAGGGGAAGACCAGGGGATGAACTGGGAGATTGGGATCGACATATATGCACTATTGATACTATGTATAAAATAGATAACTAATGAGAACCTACTGTATACCACAGGGAACTCTACTCCGTGCTTTGCGGTGACCTAAATAGGAAGGAAATCTGAAGAAGAGGGGATATATGTGTACATGTAACTGATTAACTTTGCTGCACTGCAGAGACTAACATAGCATTATAAAGCAACCATGAAAGGAAAGTGTTAGTCACTCCGTTGTGTCCAACTCTTTGCAACTCCAGGGACTGTAGCCCAGCAGGCTCCTCTGTCCATGAATTCTGCAAGCCAGAATCCTGGAGTGGGTAGCCCTTCCCTTCTCCAAGGGATCTTCCTGATCCAGGGATTGAGTCCATGTCTCCCACAATGCAGGCAGATTCTTACCATCTGAGCCACCAGAGGCTATACTCCAATAAAAATTAAAGAAACGGGGCGGTTTATAAACAATAGAAATTTGTTTCTCATAGTTCTGAAGGCTGGGAAGTTCAAGGTCAAGGTACCACCAGATGGAGTGTCTTGTAAGAGCCTTGTTTCCCAAGTCATAGACATCCATCATCTCACTATGTCCTCACAAGGTGCAGAGGGACCAGGGATCTCTCTGGAATCCCTCTCATGGGGGCACTGATCCCATCCGTGAGAGCTCCATCCTCCCAAAGATGACGACTCCTAATACTATCACATTGGGGGTTAGGTTGTGAATTCTAGGGCAACACAGATTTTCAATCTCTAGCAGTATTTATGCAGGAAAATGAGTACGCTGCTATTACAGTAGGGGGAGAGGGAGAAGGGTAGGTTACTGCACAGTATGCAACATGTTCCCATTTTCCTATAAATACCTTTTCCCTGTAAGAAGGCATCACCGAGTCTGAAAGACTTCATTCCATAGTTATTTTTAATTTATTTATTTTTAAGTGGTTCTTAATTTGTTTTAAAATTTTATTTTTATTTTATTTATATTTTTAATTAATTTATTTTTATTTATAATTGCTTCATATTATTGTATTGGTTTCTGCCATACATCAGCATGACTCAGCTATAGGTATACATACGTCCCCTTCCTCTTGAACTCCCCACCTCCTACCCCATCCCATCCCTCTAGGTTTTCACAGAGCTCTGGGTTTGAGCTCCCTGTGTCATGTAGCAAATTCCCACTGGCTATTTTACTATGGTAATAGATATGTTTCTGTGCTATTCTCAGTCTGTCCCACCCTCTACTTCCCCTACTGTGTCCACAAGCCTGTTCTTTATGTTTGAATCTCCATTGCTGCCCTGCAAATAGGTTCTTCAGTGCCATTTTTCTAGATTCCATATGTATGTGTTAGTATATGATATTTATTTTTCTCTTTTTAACTTACTTCACTCTGTATAATAGGCTCTAGGTTCATCCACCTCATTAGAACTGACTCAAATGTGTTCCTTTTTATGGCTGATAGTTAAGTCGCGTATGACTCTTTGAGACCCCATGGACTCCAGCACGACAGGCTTCCCAGAGTATGCTGAAACTGACGTCCATTGAGTTGATGATGCCATCCAACCATCTCGTCCTCTGTTGACCCCTTCTCCTCCTGCCCTCAGTCGTTCCCAGGATCATGGTCTTTTCCAATGAGTCGGCTCTTAGTATCAGGTGGCCAGAGTGTTGGAGCTTCACCTTTAGCATCAGTCTATCCAATGAATATTCAGGGTTGATTTCCTTTAGGATTGACTGGTTTGATCTCTTTGCTGTCCAAGGGACTTTCAAGAGTCTTCTCTAGCTCCACAATTCAAAAACATCATTTCTTCAGTGCTCAGCCTTCTTTATGGTCCAACTCTCACATCCATACATGACTGCTAGAAAAATCATAGCTTTGATTATACAGACCTTTGTTGGCAAAGTAATGTCTCTGTTTTAATATGCTGTCTAGATTTGTCATAGCTTTTCTTCCAAGGAGCAAACGTCTTTTAATTTAGTGGCTGCAGTCACCATCTACAGTGATTTCGGAGCTCAAGGAAATAAAATCTGTCACTGTTTCCATTGTTTCCCCATCTATTTGCTATATGCTGATGGGACCAGATGCCATATTAATTTTTTGAGTGTTGGGTTTTAAGCCAACATTTTCACTTTCCTCTTCCACCGTCATCAAGAGACTCTTTAGTTCCTGTTCACTTTCTGCCATTAGGGTGGTGTCATCTGCATACCTGAGGTTATTAATATTTCTCCTGGCAGTCTTGTTTCCAGCTTGTGGTTCATC